AGGTGATTCTGATATCATTAGAAGCATGCCAGAACAGACTGGTGAAAAGTAAAACGTGTAAAATTTTTCTTTAATAAAACTTGGCAGAGTGTGTTTTAAAAACACTGCATTCATTTTGGTTATTTTCTTTGTGTCTTTTAGTTGTTGAAAACTTTCCTGGAGGTAATATAAAGAGGCAGAGGGGGGAGCTGGATGTGACAAGACTTTGGGTAAAGACTTATACAACATAGTTTCCATTTTCTTGTTTTTCTAAAGGGAAAGCATTGAGTATCCCTTACCTGAAAAGCAGAAGACCAGAAATGTTTAAAAATATTTTTAGTTGTAAGTGAGCACAAATACCTTTATTTTGTTTAGTTTTATTTATGTGGTGCTGGGGATTGAACCAGTGCCTTATGCATGCTAGGCAAACATTGTACCACTGAGCCACAAAACTCCAACACGTATACAGTATATTTAATAATTTTATGCATGAAACATTTTGAGGTCATGGATATTCTACTTATGTCAGTTCTCAGAAAATTTCAGATCGAGGGTTTTCATATGCTAGGTTTTTAAGAGACTTAATTTTCATAATTCTAGTCTGAGGATATATTTGCATTTTTATATTTGAATGTGTTTGAGATGCTTTGAGGTTAAACAGCCAGAAGTACAATTTATCAAATCTGAGTAGTAAGAGTTAAGCGAAATGTTTCCCCATCTAGAGTTTTTCATAGGCTGAGAAAATTACTATTGAACTTTAATGAAGAAATATATGTGGATGACTTAAGAATAAGCCCAGATCTTCAGTAAGTTTTGTCAAATTGCTGGGATGAGTTTTGTATCATTTAGTCCTAAAAGACATGAAGTATGTTTGGTGTTGAGATTTTGGGGAAAATGTATACCATATATCTCATAGAACCCCTTTCCCACATATATTAATGTTCTTTGGAACATTAAAAGGAATTAATATGGGGAAAAATAATAGGAAAAGAGGATGCCTTACATTTACAGTCAGCTATTTACTGAACTTAGAGTCAGGGCTATCTCTTAATAGGTATATAATAGCATTTTGTTATATATTGTGTCATTCCCCTTGGGTTTATTTTAAGGTAACATCTCCTGATCTTGGGTTTATTTTAAGGTAACATCTGACCTCTTAAATTAGAGGTTATAGATACACTTTTGGAGAGAAGCTATTACTAATACTAGAGTGGTTGTTACATTTTGGGAGCATACTGATGTTTGACAATGCAGTTCTGTGGGAGAGCTGAGGATACTGAAACTTTTTTATTTCTGGTTTCCATTTCATTGAAACATAACCACCAAATATCGTGTCCACCTTTTTAGATTAGCGTATCTTATTAAGAGCTATTGGGTTATTTTAAATGGTATAAGGTGTTCATGTTTACATCAGAGACTGGTATTCCTAAAATGTTTGAAATCTTTGTCTTTGATAAGAATTGCTTGGTCTGACTACCATAGTTCAAAATTTTGCCTCTTGGTTAGGGAAGTATATGTTTCTTACATTTGCTTTGTTAATTTTTCCCACTAATGAAAGTTCCACCCTATTAAATTTAAAAAATTTTTAGATTATTTTTCCCTCTAGTTTAACTTGTTCCAATTTACTTTAAAAAGTGTGGGAATCTGGGGGGCTGGGGTTGTGGCTCAGTGGTCGAGCGCTTGCCTCGAATGTGTGAGGCACTGGGTTCGATTCTCAGCACCACATATAAATAAAAAATAAAGATCCATCAACAACTAAAATGAGTAAATAAAATATTTAAAAATGTGAGTTCCAGTCTACTATCTTTGCAGTGTTTTTATGATACAACTTCTTGGCTGTGCAATCTTTCTGCAAAAGTTTAAATAGGAAACATTTCCTGGCCTGAGATAAAGTGCCATTAAACTGCTGCTGGAGAAAATGCCATTAGGACCGTCTAAAGTGGCATGTTCTTCTTTGATTGCAATAAAAATAATGTGTTTGCCTCTAAAACAAGAGGAACTACAGAAAATCCCAGCCAGTTGAATTTACTTCATACCTCTACTGTTAGGAATAGAGATAGCTGTCCCAATGAAGAGGTTGGTTGTTGTGAAGTGTAACAACTGGAATTGGTACAGGATGGTGGCAGAAGCAAAAGGTTATATTTTAGGTTGGTCATGAATGCATGACCAGCTGGGTAATCTGGAAGATGATCATCTGGAGTTTTTGGTCTGCTGTCACATCTATAACTACCAGCTCCCATTCTGCATTTCTGGGCCTACCTGTACTTACTCTGAGGATAAGTTCAGCATCATCTTTCAGTCTAGATTAGGTGCCTCTGAGTTACCTTAAAACCTATTTTATGACATTAATATCTGCCTCTCATTAAGCTAAGGTCTTGAAGACAGTCTCAATTTTGTCACCAAAAACTATTCGAGTGAATAATATTTTCTAGTGCTTCAACAATGACATTAAGCTTATGACTGACCAGAATTTTATCTTCATCTAACTGATGGTACTTTTTCAGTAATTTTGTGCATTTATTGTTAAATTCACTGCCTCCTATCTTGTTCAAAAGATAATGTAGGGGAGGGAACTACCAAAAAACAAAAGCAGAAACAATTCATTCTCACTCAGCATACACTTACCATCTCTGGGTCAATACTGTTGGCTGCTGAAGAATAAAAACATAATAGTTAATACTGAGCATTTGAAAGGTTTGGGTCCTTTTACTAAATGTATATACAATTGATCCTTTGATAACACATGACAGTACTGTTATTTCCATTTTAACATGAAATTAAGACGGGTGATAAATGATGAAAGTGGAATGCAAAACACTTCATGTAAAAGTGGCAAAAACAACAAATATTTTATATTTTAGGCATTCCCTAAGTTAAATATCTTGGATTAATCACATTTTGATGCTTTGGTTGGAAGCCTTTGTTTTCCATGAAACTGCCTCCTCTCCACACCAAGTTGTAGAAATATTTAATAGCTTAAAAGAGGAATTGTAGTCTTGAGCCACTAGAGGGAGCTTGAACACAACAGAATGTAAAGTCTAACTGGGCAAACTAAGCAGTGCCTGAATTGGTTATATATCAAAATTAATGTGAATACAAATCAATACAGCTTCCTAATGAAAACGTCTACATTTAGGGTTAAATGGGTTTTTCAGATAAGGTTGAGGCCTTAAGAGATGTTCTTCCCATTCTGCCACACTGCCTTTTGGGAGCTTATTCTGATGTAAACACTTGTCTTGAGATACTTCAGTATAGGCTTAATCAAGATGTTTTGTTTATAAGGCATCATTTGGACTCTTATTAAAGTACAGTGGCTTCCTTGGGGAAAGTTGACTTTTTTTTAAAAGCTTTTTTTTTTTTTTTTTAACACAATAC